TGAACAAATGCATTTAACTGCCAATTTTTACTCTTTTTCCTGAGCTGTGTGGCATGGAGAAAAGCTGTGAAAATAATTGTCTTTCAATCTATTATTTAAAGTGCTTTCCATTTCTGAGATGGTGAAACAATAGTAATATATAAAATGCATCCATCACAATACTAATTGTATAAATCTCTTAACATCTATGCCACCTCCATAAGAGACCCCTATTAAAAAAAATTGGTTTTAATAGACCTTCAAGTTAAAACATTTCAACAAAATACCATAATGAAAAGCTACTGTTATTTATTATAAGCTTTCCAAGATTACTTTTATTCAGGATTCAACAGACTGATAGCAACCACCTGGTAAGAAACTACTCCCAGTAAAAGAAAGTGTAATGCTGAGGGGTGTTTTATTAAAGGATAACATTATATGCACCATAAATCTATGCTGAAGATATTAAAATAACTCAACAATAGAAGCGTTAAATTTTACATTTTTCAACCTGGGAATATCTTCAACTAACCTTAATTACAAGAGAGAATTATAGCCTATCCTCTGTCTTGTAGTTAGTATGGATCAGCAGTCCATCTCATTCACTAAGATATCTGTCACTAAATGGAAGAGAAACTTAACTGAATGTTCCTTTCATTTTATACCTCTCAGAACAAGGAAACAGGAAAATGTATCTTTTATTTTTGACTTATATAAAGCACACAGCTGTGCTTCTTTAGACTTGATGGCTTACAGGAAGATAAACAAATTGTGGTGCTCCAGACATCTTGGCCTACAACTTCCATCATTCCTCACTATTGGCAATGCTGGGTGGGGCTGATGATCATTGCAGGTCCAAACATCTAGAGGCCACATATTTCCAACACCTGGTTTAAAAGTACATATTTCATAATTTATTGATACTATCCTTAGTTAATCAAGTTGAGCTGTTCCACCCATATTGCAGAATGAAGGGGCGGTATCCCATTACCTGACGAGGGGTGACTTCCATCAATGGAATTTAGATTAGGGCAATTACTTCTGCCCTCTTCAAAGTCTGTTTGGGAGAGTTAGGGTCCCTCCAGTGCATATTTGGGTAGAGGGCAGAAAAGTAGGGGGAAATTCCATTTTATGAAAGGAAGTCTGCTTGAACAAAACTGGATTTCTCTCACTATCAGAGTCCATAGATTTCACTTACTGCATCCATTTTTGCTCAAGTATTTTTTTCAAACATATATCCTTCATTTATACTGCATGTTTCATAAACAAGTTTTAAATAAAATGGACATTTATATATTAAAAAGCAGATTCAAAGACTGAAATGCATCCACAAAGCATTGAATAAGATTCAGATTTAGTGTAGATACATTGAAACAGGTGGAAAAGTTAGTGAAAACTAACTTAACCTCTATTAAATTCAAGGTGCCTAGTTTAAGCATAACTAACTCTGGATCCAACCCATTATATTTATACTCAGAACAGATTTTGTAACACTTCAGAAGCTAAGATAAGGAATTTGGTTTTGTGTTAAACTACACAACAGGAAATCATATGCATATATTTTATATTTTTCTATATTTAAATTTGTAGTTTTCTACATTTTCCACAGATAACAGAAAATGGATGATACACAATGTGTTCCTCTATAAATGTTGGTAACACTTCATGTACTACTGAACATTTCATGTAAAAATGCACACCTTAGAAATGAAAGCCAATATCATAACAAATCACTTAGAAAATGAAGTGGATGTCTGAGTGCTTTCTTTGTAGTATCCTTTCTTACCCAGAATGGTTTGCCTTGGGTTATTCAACAAACCTAGCAATGCAGCAACTTGCATGTATAAGTTGCTGTGAGAGCTCTAAGACTGTAGGATTAATTGACAGTGACAAGCTATTCAATTGTAATAATTTCTTTCTCAAGAGCTCTAAAATTAATTAAACTGAAAGCTCAAAATATTATTTTACAGTTTAAAAGCTTGGTTACTGAAGACCGATTTTTGATTTTAGTGAGGCACGGTAAGATAAAATGTAATGAGAAGATATACCTGAATCTTTCTAACTTCAAATAGCTGAACTTTAAGTGGGCTTAAAATAACTAATATGCAGTATTTTTAAAATTAATTTCTACAAACATTTTATGTTAAATGAACCTCTGCCCCAAAACAGAAAACAAGATGAACCATAATGGATGGGATAGAAATAACCTAATAAAAAATAAAAAATAAAAAACTAGCCAACCATGTGGCTTGATGAAAGTGAATATTTTTATTCCGTCCCTCAAAACTTGCAAACAGAAACTGAAAGTCAGATGAAATAACATACCATGTTTCCATTACTATAAGAAGCAGTGACAAGACTTAGTTTTCCTTCCTTTGTGTCCCATTTCCTTTTTGTACAAGAGGAGGAAAGTTGCTGTTTTTGCTTTTAATCTAGCCAGTTCATCCAATGTAGCAAACAATAGTTTGTGCAAATGATAATTTTCCACATTTGGTCATTATGCCAATTAGAAATAGAAGCTTCTAATTTCCTTCTTTCTTACACAAAGAAAGGAGAATTGATGAAGCAAGTATGAGGTGTGTCAGCGTTCATTCATAAAATAACAATTCAGAGTTTCTTATGTCCTAATTTGAACTGGTGCCATTTTCTACAAAACAAAATTCTACACCTGTAGGAACTGTATTGTGATCATACATGGTAGAGAAGACTTACAGGAAGCATAGACCTGGCTTAGGTTGCAAAATCCATGGAGTCTACAGCACTGCACAGGGAATCAGAAACAACTTGACAAAAAGGTAGACTAAATTCAATGAAGATAAAAGAAAACAATAATCTGGATGTACAACAATGGTCTCTTAATTAGAACTTGGAGATGTTGCTTGCTGAAAGCATAAGCTTGGTAAGGCTCATCATTTGCACTGCATACAATTAACATATGAAACTCTGCCAAATAATGTGGTGGTTGCTAAGAGTACAAGGGGATTCAAAATGAGATTCAATTACTGAGAATAAGAGCACAACAATTCCTCCTGACTTGTCTTAGAACTTTAACCTTGCCATAGGTTAAGAATGGAAGTTGTATCTCATGATTTAAATAAAGGCAGCCCAAAATCTGAATTCAATTCATTAATCTGACTAATCTCCCATATGTTCAGATGTATGTTCAGAATATGTGGTAATTTTGCTCATCACACTACAATTTCAAAATCCAATTGACCATATAACTGAGGAATGCCTATCTGAAAAGTCATCTTGAATGGTAACTGGAATAGACATCTATCAAAGACTAATGCTTGTTTGTATGATTCTACTTTGAACAACAGGAAATGGAATGCTTCAAAGTTATATCCTTGTTCTAACATATAAAGCCCTAAAAGACTTGGGACCAGGGTACCTAAAGGACACCCTGCTCTCATATGTACCTCCCTGGCCCCTAAGGTCAGTTTTGGAGGCCTTCTGAAAGAGCCATCCTCCAAGGAGGTAAGGAGCATGGCTAATAGAAGAGGAGCTTTCTCAGTAGTTGCATCCCACCTGCAGAACAGCCTCCCAGAAGCAGTACACCTGGCACCTTTGTTACAATCCTTTTGGCACCAGGGAAAAAAAACCTCTATTCTTTAGGCATTTTAATAATTTTTTTCATCCTGACAGTTTTAAATCAATTACCCTCTGCTGTATATTGTTTTGTTTTAATGTCTTTTGCTCATTGTATTTTAACTGCTTGATTTAATTGTCATTGTTATGATATGACTGTATTTGATTGTAATCCGCTTAGAGGACCCTGGTGCCAATTTATCAGAAAAAAAGTTTAAAAACAAACAAACAATATTGTACATTATAAACAATACTGATTGTGACCAGAGAGACACTATTTGGCAAAATTGTGCCTCAACTGGACATGTGACTTAATGGCAAACGGTACCTATAAAAGAAATGAGGCCTCCAAGAAAAAAGGGGACGTGATATCATTTGGAAGTGATATTGCTGATGCAGAATGTATGCAGGGTAGCATAAGAGGGCAGCAAGCAAGGAGGTGAAAACCAGAGGAAGGGTAAATGGCCACAAGAGAACAAAGTTACTTATGTATCCTACTTGTCCCTTTTTATTTTTATTTATTCTATCTATGTTTTATTTATTCTATGTTCACCATGTTTCCTGCAAGGAACCCAAGAGAGCTTACACAATCCTCCTCTCCATTTTATCCTCAAAATAGCCCTGTGAGGTAAGTTAGGTTGAGAGTCCGTGACTGGCCCAAAGACACCCGATGAGTTTCATGGCTGAGTGGGACAAGAACCAGTCGAATATTCAAACCACTACACCATACTGGTTTTCATTCTTCTCATTAGAACAGGTGAATTATTAAATTGCTCAGTAAGTGCTTGGTTTTCCTTGGCAGAATTTTAGATATTCTCTGTTTTAGATATATGGTAAAACAGGGCCAAGATATGAGTATCACCTCTGTCTGTCCAATTCCGTTCTAGAGTCCCTACAAGATGCTGAAGAAAGCTGAAGAACTGGGAAACTGAACATCATCCCCCCCTGGCAGACTAACATCCTAAGATGTCTAAATCTCAGGTGCACATATGTACAATTCTACTCTGTAAATCCCTCTGCATGCCATTCTGCTGGGCTTCTGCTAGAACATTCACTAAGCAGGAGTAGAAGTGGGCAGCTGGAAAAGATTTAACAAGCACTAAGGGACATCTTCGGAACAGTATGCTTGCTGACTTTCTTTGAACAGTGTCCCAATCTTTTTCTGCATATGACCCTCAAGCAAGTTTCTCATGCACCTCTACATTAAAAAAGAAAGAAAAGAAATACATGATACTGAGAGCATAAATCACTTTTGCCCTTTCTGGGACTGCAGGTGAGATTGTGCTAATGTGACAGCCACATCAAAAATCCCAAACCATAAAATTTAAATAGTTCAAACCCTTTAAATATCTTTGCAATCCATTTTTGCTTTTTTATGTTTTTATTTAGCAGAGGCTAGACATTTGTGCCTAAGGCAAGTTACTACTCACTGTGAACAAGGAAGCAAAAGTCTTTCCACATCAACAACAAGGTGAGCTTTGTAAAACCTTCAGCATCATACTCTACCACACCACTATTTTAAAAGAAAGTTTTAGCTATTAGTCATTAATACTGAGGCACATCAGAATGCATATCTGCACACAAGAGATTATCAAAAGGTATAATGCATTGCTCCTCTCTGCCAGGCATGAGAGGTTTCAAGCAGTTCCTCCCAGCAAGACAGACATCAATATTTCCCATATAAGAGCTTGACAATCTTGTTCTTCCTTCCTTCCCTAGTGCATTGGCTATTTATTCTCTATTATGCCCTATGAGAACTCTAGAAAGACAAAAGAGAACTCAAAAAGTCTTATGGAAAAGAAAAAAAATAGGCCACTAAAGAATAAACATACAATCTCAAAAATACACAGCAGTAAAAAGAAAACGTAAAAAGCAGCAATTGGATTAAAAACTGTAAACACATTTTAAACTGGTTAAAATTGAAAAGGACGGTAGGATAAATATAAGGGTTGTGTCTAACTGTGGTTTGTGCCAGTGGAAAAAACTTGCACTTGCGCAGGACAGAGCACCTGGTTTTGGTTTATCCACCCCAGCCTCCTGACCTCCACCAAAAGCTGTTCTTTATGTTGGCGGACCCTCTGGAACTCAAGGGATATGCTTAGAGGGCTGCAGTAGGTAGGAGGGATCAGTGAAAAGCAGGTGCTCCACCTTCTGCAAGTGGAAGTGTTTTGCCTAGAACAAAGCAACCCTCTGGTACTATCTGTTTTTAATCTCTGCCTGAAAGACTCAAAGAAGGAACCAAGGAAATCACACCAGAGAGGGCATTCCAAGGTTACACCATGATCTATTCATATGCAGATCAACATTAACAGATGCTTGTCGTGATTTGTTACCTTGTTTCAATGAGCAATTAGTTATCATATGATTTTTTTAAAAGCCTGGAGCTGCACTGGGGAGGGAGAAAAGGTTTTGCCACCTCCCCAATCCCAATCTGTAGAAACCTGCTATTGCTATCCACTAAATTTTCAATAAAGCCTGCGTTGCATTCATCTGCAACAGTAGTGATTTTGGCCTAGATTCAATTATTTTTAAAAAAGATAATAAATCCAGTAATATAACAGTAAAAACAGTAATGTAAAATCAAGAAACACGCAGAAACATAGCGTAAATGGAAAAACTAAACCCACCATCAGGCACCAGAGTTATAAAACTTAAGTGTCCCTTTCACAAGCAGGTTGCCTTCCTTTCATGGAAGGGATTTTGATCCAACACACGCTCCTGGCATCTGGAGTGTGTGTAATTTCTGCTGATTCCCCCTTCCCCTTCCACCACAACCACTGTCCCACAGTGTCCCCCAACTCTCTGGAACAGATTTTTGGAGGAAGAGGGAAAGGATGAACCAGTGACTTCCTCCCTTCCACTAGCAGAATCATCCTGTAGGCTTATTCTAGTAGTTGAGCAAATTCTGTCAAGAAGATACTAACTAGAGCTGTAATCTGAAACATGCATACTTGAAATAACTCTCACGGAAAATTGCTGCCCTTTCTCTCGGCTCAGATAAAATAGATAGGATTTAATTTTTTAAAAAAGGTTTTGTTGTATTCCATTAAAAAAGAGATGGATAAATACTTACGTTCCAAAGTGACTAAGAAATGCTGCAATATACTCTCTTCTCTTATGGTAACCCTGAATAACATACTGTACCTAAAAGAGAATGTAAAGAACAAAATGGGGAAAATATTATAAAAGCATGTATTTTGGGGTGTTTTTCTAGGAATTATTGTTTATTCCTTATTAATAGCATCATAAAACATTTATTTATAAAGATTTTACTAGAATGGGAATCCAGAATATCTTTTTACCCACACATTAGAGCAAAGACTAAACATATAGAAGAATTACTTAATACATTTGGCACCTTAACAATTAACAGATTTATTCATCTTTAAGGTGCCATGATACTCTGCTGCTTTTACAACAGGGTAAAATACCACCTCCTGGAATGTCATGTATTTGAAAAGTATAAGCTAGGTAATAAAGATAATCTAGCCAAAAGAAGTTGCAGAAAGAGTCTTAGAATTCCAAACCAGTTTGTGGTATATCAAAGGGGCAATTTTACACTTAATACACATGTCTGAGATTTGCTGTGCCAAAACTTAAGTGCTTCTTAGGCTAAAAAATGCCAGCATAATGTCACATGAAGCTATAGAAATGCTCTAGAAATGCTGTCTCTTGCAAGGGTGCCACTCACACAGCTCTCCATTAATATGAGAACAGAAACTTTCTACAGTCTCATACTGACTGAAGGAAAATAAAGTGCGCATGTTGTTTATATTGGCTGACTTAGTGTTGGATTACCTTGGCTGGCAAACAGCTGTGCTAAATTACTTGAAATAACTATGATACAATCAGTGCTAAGAGCTATGCTACACCCTCTCAAAATAAAATAATTCTATTTATAAAATTGGATGTATTTCAGTTTATGAACAAATGCTTATTTTGAAGCCTACATATAACATCTAGAATTTTACTCAGTGAATAGAAAAAAATCCAGATAAGTTAGGTTTATTTTTTTAAGGCTAAAAACAGCCTTGTATACTTGAAAACTTAAAATAAGTTCAATAGAAAACTTTCAATAGAAAAATACAACAAAACAACTCTAAAGATGAATGCCAGCATAACTACAGAAATGCATTTGAAGGACTGTTTCATAAAGGTTTGATGTATAGGTGTTCATTAAACAGGAAAAAACCGTAAGAAAGAAAAAAACTTGAGTATTTGCAGCTGCTGTACAACGCCTAGAGAGTTTTTTGGAACTACTTAGTGGCATATAAATATAAAAATATTTGATAACCAGATTGGTAAAATCCTTAACGTTAAGCAACTGTTTTAAAAGTTATAATGCAGAAATCAAAAAGACTATGTATCGTTGTTTCAGCCTTTCCTCCAAATCTATCCCCAGAGGTTGGGAGACATACTGGAATGGTAATACAGTTAGGCACAATGAAATTTGTCCTGCAAAACTGTAAAATCAGCAACCTGTCCATGTGCACACGAGCTGCTCTGGACCCTAAATGTTTTCTAAAAAAATGTCTGATATATTTTATCCTATATGCATAGCCACTTTCTTCTGAATTGTCTGAAGCATTGTAATAAGTAGAGGAAAACAGAACAGCTGTTTGCATTTCTGTGGAAGAAACAGTTCACTCCTTCAAGAAGGATTTTTCTCCTTCAAGATAAGAGAAAAATCTTAAAAGAATGGTTTGTCCTGATCTGTAGCACTCAGAATATCCAGTGATAATCACCATAAGTCTCTTTATACTGATGAATTTATTGTTATTATTGGCCCGTGATGTGGATTTTTTCAAAAATTTTACATTTCACATTTGAAAATATTCAGTGTACACTGGGAAATTTTCAGATGGCACTGGAATTGGTAGAGTGACCTATTTTAGCATGCTCTTAATTTTGTGTACTATTTCATCATCAAGCAATGCTACATGAAAACATAACTGACAAAAAGCATTAAATACCTATAAATAGTGACCTGCATATAGTGATGCAAATAATAAAACTGTAGGACTGAACTGCCTCTTGGGAGGTCTACTGATCTGGTTTTAATTAGCTCTTTTCAGAAGTGACTGTGGAGGAAGGCCTCAACCCCAACTTGCTCAGACTGGCAATAAATAAATAAATAAATAAATCAGAGTTGCCAACAAGTGTAAAAATGATTGTCAACTGCATAATTTCTCATGGCCCTTAAATATTTGGTCTCTTGTTTAAGGAAATATCCCAACGTCTCTTTTCTGAGCTTTCAAATGACAGTCCACCTGTAGATCTCCAGACTGACATTATTTCCTTTCCTGCCACAGTCCAGACAAAGCTTAGTAAATCCTTATGTAGTAGATACTTGTCTCTCACACAGAGGGACAATAATCCTAGTTTCTGTTTTACTTATTTCTTATTCAGCAGCTTTCAAATGAAACATCTCTACTCAGAATCCCTCTGTGACTTCACACCCCCACCACTTTTATGTGTTTAAGAGCCCCCCTCTGAGAACAGCCTGAGAACTGGAGGCAGTTCCCACTGTATATATAACTAATTCTACTGGTGCGAGATGCCACCCATATATTAGTTTAATTGCATGTTCCCTCAGTTTAGATGAAACTGATTCATACAGGGATCCACAATAAATTCCACTGACCATCTTCAATGGTAATTCTTAATCTTTTCCCTAAAACTATCTTATGCCATTAGTGCTACCCACTGACATTTCTATAAAAAATTGTATTTTTGCAAGACTAGAGCTACTGAGTTGGGATTAATCTGTCAGTAGGAGTTCAGACCTTGTTAGAAGTCATACTGCTCATGCATCCACTTCAAGAATTAAGGTAAAATGTGCAATTTCGGTCAACTGGAATAAGTTCATTTTAATTTCCTGTAATAATTGTATTAATTGAGGTCTACTGTTTGGCCCTTTGTGCACAGAACATTTTGGTGGGCTTTCTTTCATAAGGTCACCATAAGCTGGAGATGACATGACAACACTGTTTGGCTCTAGGTAACTGAACAGATATTTCACTGTGCACAAGCACTGTAAGTCCCCAAATTGACTCAATTCTTCAGCATTAAAACATTTTTATTTATTTATTTTTTGATTTATATCCTGCCTTTTTCCTACAAAGGGCTCAAGGCAGCTTACATCATTCTCCTCTTCCATCTTATCCCCACAACAACAACCCTGTGAGGTAGGTTAGGCTGAGAGTCTGTGACTGGCCCAAAGCCACCCAGTTGGCTCCATGGCTGAGCGGGGACTAGAACCCAGATCGTTTGAGTCCCAGTCCCGCACTCTTAACCACTACACCACATAAGGCACAACTCAGGAAAAGTATCAAGATGAAGGATATGGTATTAATTTGAACTCCATTTTTTCCATGTCTCCTATGTAGTAATCAAGAAGGGACTGCCTGGTGATAAAGCTGTATTAATTTCCCTCATTTTATGGAATGGCATGTTCCTTAATTTGTCTTTTTATTTAGAGATACTTCCATAAGAACTGAAATTCTGTTGGCATCACATTTGTTTGATTTGAAAAGATCCCAAGTATGAGCTTAAGTTGGGCATGTCCAGTCCTTCTACTAATGTCCCTCAGTATAGGGCATGAGTAAGATGAGGTTTGTTTTTCCCTTTCTGTTCAAGATCCAAATCCATAGTTGTACAGTGGTATCTTGGCTCATGAACTTAATCCGTTCCAGGACCCTGGAAATGACCCAAATTGGTCGTGAGCCAAGTTAAATTTCCCCATAAGGTTCAATGTAAATAAGGTTAATCCGTTCTGCAACTATTTTTTTGATCAGAAAAATGTAAAGCAAAATGACAAAGAACAACAAAGATCATGGCAATCTCCCCCTGCACCCCCAGGATGACTGCAATTGTGCCTGTCATCCCTGCACATGCCCGTCATCCCGGTGCATTGGAGGGGGGAGAGATGGGTGTGAACACGGGTGCGCTGGGGGGGAGACGGGTGCAATCGTGCTCGGGGTGAGATGGCCGAGATCGCGGTTGTGCTCGTGCAGGAAAGATGGGCGAAATCTCAGCCATCTCCCTCCTGCCCCCAGCATGATCATGGCCATCTCCCCACTCAGGGGAGGGGGGGAGATGGCCATGATTGTGGCTGCCACCCAATGCGGAGTTCACGACCTAAGTCAAAATTTTTATGAAATTTTTGTTTGTGACCCGATTTGGTCGTAAACTGAGGTTTTCATGAGCCAAGGTACCACTGTACTTGTTTTGCAGTCTCATTCAGTGGTTGGGAGACTTCATTTATTTGCAATTCTGAATGTGACAGTGGCAGATCATTCTAGCTTCAAGTCCCTCAATTGCTCTGCAAACTTGGTAACGGGGTCTTTACCATCTTTGCCACTTTGTAGCACCTTAAGGCCCAGCATTAAGCCATCCTCCCCCATAGTTCTTCAGCATTTTAAAGCTGAGCTAGTTTTACTTCTAGAGTTCATGGAAATCTATGCTCTAGGGTAAAAAAAAATGCCTGTTTGCCTTGCTTCTCAACTGATAATTTTGTTTCATTGTTGCGTTAAAGTTATAATTTGTATGGTGGGGGTAATTTATTTATTTATTTAAAACATTTATATGCTGTCCTTCATGTATAACATCTCAGGACGGCTTACAACATTAAAATCAGAATCCAATAAAACAATCAATACCACAATATAATAAAACAATATATAACCAACAAAAATAAATCAAATCAAAAGCAACTGTTAAAACCATTAAAATGCTAATTTTCAAAGTAATGCTTGAATAAAAAGGTTTTGACCTGGCGTCGAAAAGAATATAGGCTCGGTGCTAGGCAAACCTCTCTGGGGAGCGCATTCCACAATCTGAGATTGAGTTAAACTGCTGGATCAGTAATATGATGCCATTGCTCATCTTGATTTACTGGTATTTTGTAAACAAAGCTAAAAAAATTATAACCCAACTTTACCCAAATACTTCAAAACTATTTGACCTGAAATATTTGACAGGAAAAGTTAAAGAATATTTAATGAGATTAAAATATTACGTTACCTAGAAGTTTTATTGGAAAAGTTATAAAAATGTGATGACAATAGGATGTACTTCCCTTACATCATTTACATTTCTGCATAAAAAGTACAGAAAAACTGTTGACACACATTAGTTTTAGCAACTGAAAGATATTATTCCTAAAGACTTCAACTCTATTCCAGTAAAGGCTTGCTGATTAACTTATGTAAGGGACTTTTTCTGCAGAAAAATTCAGCATCAGAAAACTTTCCATTCCCCATTATCATTTACTTTAGGAAATATATAGGCTGCACCTTCATCTAAAAAGAACGCGGGTGCTTTAAGTAACACTGATTATGCACAGGACACGTGTTGTATAGCTTTACTCTTTACCAGCATTGTTATTTAAAACTAGGAGAAAATCCATCTGATTCAAAGAAATACAGTAATTTGGCTGGGACAGGAAAAGTACTTTAGACATGCCCAGGAGTTCAGGCACATTTAGCTGCAATCAAAATGTGTCAGCTTGAAAAGCAATTTGTCATGTAGTACAGGGAGATGGAAGTCTGAAGTCCCCTTAGGCCAGGGGTCAGCAACCCATGGGTCAGGAGCCGCATGTGGCTCTTTCATCCCTCTTCTGCGGCTCCCTGTCACTCAAAATATGTGTCACAACCTCCAATGTGCGACACCCACCGGCACGCGATTTACTGAACTTTTCAACCCCCGGTAGGCCAACCATGGATAAATCCAAGAAAAGAAAACTTTCAGAACATTTAATGATACGTAGGCAGATTCATTTGCTTTCACTGCTGACGAGATTGATTTACCAGTATGCTTAGTATGTGGTGAGAAATTGGCAAACAACAAAAAGTTGAATGTTGCAAGACATTTCCAGAATAAACACACAGTCTTTGCTGAAAAATACCTGGATGGAGATGCAACACACTATAGTTTTTTTATACATGGCATAAAGGTAAAAAAATGATATATGCAGTGTTATCTTCCTTTTAATGTCAAAAGGGTTTTGTGGCTCCCGGTGCTTTCTTTTCTGTGGGAAACGGGTCCAAGTGGCTCTTTCAGTGTTTAAGGTTGCCGACCCCTGCCTTAGGCCATGCAGATGTCTGTTTGTCTGTCTGTCTGCCCAAAATGTACTATTTTATCTTAGATGCTATGTTACCTTATTAGTTAGCAGCTGGCATACTTGGGGCACATAGTCAATGAGGCAGCCTCCACCTGGAAAAGCAGGGATGTGAAGGGCAGAAGATCCTCCAAGAGCACTAGAAACATAAGATAAATTAATAAAATCAATTACTGTATCTTTGTTAATTATAATACCTTATCCTTTTTCAAATCTATCACTTGTTAAGCAGAGTGGCTTCCCAAAAATTATACAAATATGATGAAAGGTAAGTATTCACACTGTACTTGTATCACACAAGATATGTAACATACATTAGCATGATGATAATGCAAAGTATGACAGAGCTAATACTTAAGTATTTAGTTTAGATATGGGAGAGCCAGGCTAAAATCCATGCTCAGGGATGAAGATCACTTACTGGCTTTCAGCAAGTCTCTCTCAACCTAACCTTCCCACACACAGCTGTTGTGAGGATAAAATGAGTAAGAATCTATTTTTTAATTTCTTCTTAATGTTAAATGCATAATTAAATTTAAATTTAATTAATTACTCATTTAACTTGAATGATGGAGGAACTATCTGAACATGTATGACTATCAAATATCAATCTGACCAGAAAGCTAGGACTAATAAAATCTTTTTAATATTACTTCTCAAGTGCTCGTGGTATGGACAAATACAATATCTATAACCAGGCAATAAACAAAGAAGGAATAATCTTTTATACTCCTAAACACCCATAATCCTTTCTTGAGCACTAATTAATCCAGCTTCCTGGGAACTTATAAACAGCAGTTATCTTCAGCAGACTGCACAGCTATGAAATTCATGCCTAAATTCATCTTATTTGCATAAGAAGAAATAAATTGAATACAGTATTTATCAAATCCACATGGTAGTTAGTGCTAATGTATAGACCAATCATGTGGCTGCAGGCCCTGTCCACAGGTTTATAAGTTAAAGTAGTTCTGAAGCTCACTTCTTCCATTGCTAAAAGAAGCCTATGAGACAAAAGAACAGACTGCATCTCTGATCCCTATAACAAATGAAAAGGTTGTGAAAGTAACTGTGATAAAAGGGGGTGGCTTAGAATCATAATCTGTTTATATGGACACTGATGAGAGTATGAATGGAGCTTCAGAATGGACTGTGCTCTTCTGGAATTTCTTCATAGCCATTCCTTTTTTTAATTGAGTTGCTTTTTTTATTGTATTTTTTACATTTATTATATTTACTAGAACTGTAATGAGTAGTATTGATGGAGTCCCGATAGAACATCAGACCTCAAACTACAACCTGCGGGTCGAATTCGGCCCGCCATGCGCATTTTTCCGGCCCATCACAGAGGTTTTGGACTTGCTGCATATGTGGCGAGGCACCAGCTTGCTTGCAAGATTGTTTTGGACTCGCTTGGAGAAAACCATCTCTACGCACACACGCACGCCCCTGCCTCTTTGTGCATGCATGAACACCCCTGCCTCGTTGTGCGCGTGTGCATGAGCACACGCCCCCCCCCCCCCGCCCACACTGCCTTGGCAGCCCGCGTTCATTGCCGGCACCTTTCAACTGGCCCCCTGTTCAAAAAGTTTGAGGACTCCTGCTATAGAACAATAGTGTGCATTTATTTGATACAATCCAACAGCCAAAGGGGAAGGCCCTAACTTAGTGGAAAAGGCGTTCCTAGGATCAATCCCCTGCATCTCCAGGGAGTCCTAGGAAAGTTTCCTGCCTGAAACCTGGGAGAGCTGCTGCCAGTCAGTGTTGACCTTACTGGGCAAGGATCTATGGTCTGACTCAATATAATGTAGCTTCCTAAGTTCCAAATCTCTCTGGGTAGTTAACTGCAAAATATTTGACATTAGCTACTTTACTTTGCCAAAAACCAAAACAAGACAAAAGATGCACTGAGTCAACCACGTATGACCCACTACTGCTGTGAACAGACAGTCACATGGTTCCTTCTTTTCACCATCTAATGACAAATTATTTTATTTATGTTTCGGTTTATATCCTGCCTTTTTCCTACAAAGGGCTCAAGGCAGCTCACATTACTCTTCCCCTCCATCTTAGCCCTACAACAACCACCCTGTGAGGAAGGTTGGGCTGAGAGTCTGTGACTGGCCCAAAGTCACCCAGTTGGCTCCATGGCTGAGCGGGGACTAGAACCCAGATCGTCTGAGTCCCAGTCCCATGCTCTTAACCATTACACCACACTGGCTCTCAGAAAGTAAAATTATGGTTTACTTTTTAAATGTATGCTCAGTGCATAGCTTCAGAAATTCAGTGCTCACTATTTTCTCCCTTCCAGATTCAGTCTCCTGTTATGAGGGTTAGCTTCTCTTTCCAGCATCAGTGATCTAAGACCTGGAAGATTCAAGGGTAATGTGATATTCTGCCAACGTGCATGGAGAAGGAAGAGCAAAAGCTGAGGAATCAATCACTGAATAATTAGAGTTTTGTTTTTTGTTTGTTTATTTATATATTAAACACATTTTCTGCCGAATTGGTCCAAGGGCCCTCTAAACAGATTTCAAGTTTAATAGTCATAATCTCTTGTAATGTTATGTAAATAAAATACTCTAAGATACCAGGGTCAGATGGTTAGGGCAAATTCCCACAATCTTAAATTATTTTGTTATTTGGTGTTAGACAGTATGATGTCACTGGACAATCCAGTTGTAAATGGGATCTGAGTCAAGGTACAAAGAAACTAGAAGCATTTAGACATTGTGCTGATTATTTTATCTTCTCCTTCCTTGGCTGATGAGTCATGGAAATGCATGTGCACAGAAGCCATGGAAGGCCTTGAAACAATTAGGATTAGGACTTAACTTCCTTAATGCGCTATTTAAATGTTGCTTTTTAAAGCCTATTATACTATAGAATTCCGAGAACTGTGGAAGCTTCCCAAATCCTCCCCCTCTCCTCACTTCTAGATAGCAGCACAGATTTGGCCACTAAAGTTAAAATAGTACAGTTTGAATGAGAAGCCCTAGATAGATGGTAAAATGCACCCCCCCCACCACCACAATACCAGTGAATTTGCTGATAGTGAAACAATTCATGATTCTCCAAAGCTAAGGCTTTAAAGCTAAAGTGGCCTTTTTAGGATAATCACGGTCTGATGCCAAAATTCTGCTGTAAATGACTGATTCTCTTGATGTCGCTGCCATTACAGGTGACTCCTACAACACCTGAAACTGGCCACACCTGCTCTAGAATCCAGAACAAGAGTTCCCAATGCGGCGCCTGCACGTCCCTCAAAAGGCACCCATGAAGGGGTCCCCAACATGTGCACCTGATTCCCCTCCCCAATTCCCCCCATTTTATACGCACATGCACACACATACACAGATTTGTATGAAATGTATACAACTTTCTAGCGATTATACATAGACTTCAACAAAGGGGATCAAACTGTTAAGTAAGTATTGGTTTGAAGTTGCTGTCTGTGTCATACATTCTTACAGTGAAAACATTGTAAGATAAGCAGGTTGCTTACCTGTAACTGATGTTCTTCGAGTGGCCATTTGTGCAATCACACATATGGGTACTGCGCCTGTGCAGTGCCTGTGGCTGGAAGATTGACAGCTAACGGTTTTTGGCGGGAAGCTCCGCTCCCCCTCCCCCTGTGGCCTATAAAGAGCAGAGCGTCCGCCATTTTGTTCAGTCTTTGCGACCGAACGTACGCTATCTTATTGAAAAAACTTTGTTTTTTCTGATGTCGGTACCGTGAAAAAGGGCATAGTCGGTACCGAAAGATGCATTCACTCACCAACACTGAGCGGTCGATGCATCCACTCACCGACACCGAGCGGGGCTGGTGGGTGGGTTGTGTGACTGCACAGATGGCCACTTGAAGAACATCAGTTACAGGTAAGCAACCTGCTTTTCTTCGTCGTGGCCTCTGTGCATCACACATATGGGTAGATTAACAAGCTTGCCATAAAGGAGGAGGGAAGGTGTCCTCATTGAAGAACAGAGGAGAGAACAGCTCTACCGAAGGAGCAATCCCGTCGAGCTCGAACATCGAGACGGTAGTGCCTGGTGAAGGTGCAAGGGTTCACCCAAGTAGCAGCTCGGCAGATGTCATCAATCGGGACCCCGGATGCAAATGCAGACGAGGTTGCAACAGCTCTAGCAGAATGGCCTCGAGGAACTGAAGGCAGTTCGAGCTTAGCTAATTGATAGCATAAGACTATAGTGTGGACTATCCACTTAGAAAGTCTCTGCGGAGTGACTGGATCGCCCTGATCCCTAGCAGAATATTGGATGAATAGTTTATTGGATCGTCAAATAGACTCCGTTCGCGATCGGTAGAAGGCTAAGCAACGGCGAACATTGAGTGAATGCAAAGATCTTTCCAATGGAGTCGACGGTGACGGAAAAAAGGCAGGCAGCACAATGTCTTGTCCCGTATGGAAAGGTGTAGACACTTTAGGCAAAAAAGACGGGTTGAGGCGTAAAACGACCTTCTCCCTGTGAAAGTTTAAATAAGGAGGGTCTATGCGAAGCGCGCAAAGTTCACTGGCCCTCCAGGCTGAAGTGACAGCTACAAGAAACGCCATCTTCCACCGTCGCCAAAGGTTCGAAGGGGGCCTTCATAAGGGCCTGTAGAACTACAGAGAGGCTTCATGTGGGCATAACTGGTCTAATTGATGGGTTAAGATTATATAGTTCCTTCAAAAATCTTTTGAGGATAGGATGAGAAAACAGAGGTGACCCGTCGACTAAGTCATGGTAGTAGGCTATTGCAGCTGTATACACTTTAATGGACAACAGCTTCAGTCCGGAATGGTGCAATTCCAGGAGGAACTGAAGAATCTGTTGAATGGATGAGAGGAATGGAGAGAACGAACGCGACTCAGCAAAGGCGGAAAAACGTTTCCATTTAGCCTTATATGACTTCCTTGTGGACGGCTTTAAGGCAGAGTCGATGATATGCTGAATATCAGGGTGCAAAAACGCTGGATTCGGATTCGATGGGTTTTGTCTCGAACCGGATAGTACAGAGAGACCAGAGAAGGGGGAAGCAGCCGAGTGAGTGGGTTCAACAATCGGATCCGAGGTGGTCGAAGTCATCGTCGGTACTGACGGATTAGTAGAAGCTGTCGGATTTGTAACTTTCGAAACCGT